TTGCTAGACAGACAGAGAGAGACAGAGAGACAGAAAGCGAGAAATCACCCCCCAGGGGGGATGGTCACGCCTCAATCCCTTCTCCTCCATTCTCCTCTCGGGATCCTGGGCATGCACGCACACGCGCCCAGCATGAGTTTTAAGCCACCGGGTTCGGGACGCAAACCGTGGTTGACTACGTGGGAGTCCAGCGACATAGCCATTATGCTAACTGCTGGTTCCCCCAAATTACTTTTCATTCTCTTTTTCTTTCTCTTTCTCAGACCACTTTGCTTGGTGACTATGTGTGTGTAATAATGTGTGTGCGTAATGGGAAACGGTTACACAGAATTATCCTTCTCCAGGAAACAAATTCAAATTTATTCATATATCAGGACCAGCAGTTAGCATAATGGCTATGTCGTTGGACTCCCATGTAGTTGACCACGGTTCGCGTCCCGGACCCGGTGGCTTAAAACTCACACTGGGAGCGTGTGCGTGCGTGCCCAAGATCCCGAGAGGAGAATGGAGGAGAAGGGATTGCGGCGTGGCCATCCACCCTGGGGGGTGATTTCTAGCTTTCTGTCTCTCTGTCTCTATCTGTCTGTCTGGTGAGTGCACGCACCCTATAGCAAAAAAAAAAAAAAAAAAAAAAAACTTTAAAAAAATTATTCATATATCAAGTGAACACAGTTGTTGGTTAAATTCACACATTAAAATAGAAATGATGTTTTTTTTGTTTGTATTTTTGTTTCTATTTTGTGTTGCCATAGAACCAGCGTGCTTGACACAGAGAGACAGGGAGAGAGGGAAGGTGAGAAATCACCCTTCTCCTGGGAGGGATGGCTGTGCTATAATCCTTTCCCCTCCATTCCTCTCTTGAGATTTTGGGCATGCTTGCACACATGCTGGGCATGATTTTCTAACCATGGGGTCTGGGCTTTAACTGTATAGTCAGCTCTGCAGTATCCAGCCACTTTAACCAGCATGCCATCTGCTGGCCCCAAATGAGGGTTTTTAAAGCCCTTTCTCTAATTTTATGTATATTAGTCTACTGTTTCCAAAAGTGCCCTTCAATAAAGTTGTGAATACATTAAGTTTGCTCAGGGGCTTCCTCAGTCAAATTTAATTAAGTTAATGTTCAACTAGTATTTTCACTCAGGCCTCACCAGCACCTGAAATAACAGCAATATGAATCCCTGAGAACAGCCAATAGCAGGTAGATTTTCTCAGTTTTATTTGGCTATATACTATATTTTTTCTTTTCTTTTTTTAGAGGGAGAGTTTTACTATAGGGTGTGTGTGCTTGTCAGAGAGAGAGAGAGAGCAAGAAATCACCCCCCCTTCCCCCCCAGGGAGGATGGCCATGCTGCAATCCTTTCTCCTCCATTCTCCTCCTGGGATTTTGGGCATGCACACACACACATCCAGCATGAGTTTCAAGCCACTGGGCCTGAGACTTGAACTGCAGTTGGCTGGAGTCCTGTCACGTAACCATTATGCCATCTGCTGGCCCCAGTGCTCCTTTTAATCAGAACCATTTTATGAGAAATCCAGAGAGAATGCTCACTAGTCCTCACCCAAACTTGAGTGTGGCCTAATTTCCTTGAGCTATAAATGGTTTCCATTAGAACTGGTCTTGGTTCTGTCAATCCACTAAGACTTTAGAGTGGTCTTTGGGAACTAGCATGCTGCAGTGCAGCAGCATCTTTAGATGAAGAATTTCTGGGGCTGGCAGGTGGCATGGTGGTTAAGGATGCTGGACTCCCATATGGCTGATTGTGGTTCAAGTCCTGGACCTGGTGGCTTGCTTTCTCACTTTCTGCCTCTCTTTCTCTCTTTCTCTCTCTTTTTCTCTCACTCTGTCCCTCTCTGGTCAAATTAAAATAAATAAATAAATAAAGTTAAATAAAATTATTCTTTAAAAAGAAAAGAATTTCTGAATCTCTGTGATAGCACATTCATATTTACACTCACATACACATAAACACCCCCCCCCAAACGAATCACACTAAACTGCTAAGATAAAAATAATCATTTATTGCCAGTTAAATGTTGTTTTACATGAAGGAAAAAAATCCTACTGCCATACATCCCATTTAAAAATTTGGTATCTATTTGTGGTGTTGGCCTGAAGTTTCATAAAAAAATCCTTAAAAAATTACACAAAAATCACCAATTCAAAACGTTTTGAATTGCAAGGGATTGAAATGTTAACACCAGCTCCATTGATGATAGGATAATACAATAATTGAGTCTGTGATTTTCATTTCTGGAACTGCTAAGGTAAAATAATAATAGTTGGCATATATTGCATATTGTATGCTAGGTACAATGCAAAGGATTTTACATGAATTAATCCGAATGATTAGCCTTTAATCTTTACTACAATCCTACAAGTTAAGCACTATTATCACTCCGTTTTAGGTTAGGGAAACTGAGGCTTAAAGAATTTAAGTAACTTGGCAAAGTTTACATGGATAGTGTGAAAGGAGTCTGACTTCAGATCCCTTACTTCCACATTGAAAATAATCTTGGACAAAAACACAAGGGAACTACTATAATAAGCTAAACGTCAAGTTAAAATTGTACCTCTAGTATACCATCAAAATTTGAGCACACACTGTGTCATATATTGGATTCTTAAATACCCTGTTAGTAGTAGCTGCATGTTTTCCCTGAAACAAAAGTAAATCATCCTCCTTAATACCGTTTGTGGTAATGGCTCAGGAAGGAACTACATAAAGATCCTGACTACAAAACATCTTAAATAACTGCGTTTGTCTCTTCCTTTGCCTATTCCATGTTGGAATGTTAACAGGTATTCCTAACATCTAGGTCAGTGGAGACAAGCAATCAAGTCAGGTGAACTTCAGGACCTCAGGTGAAACTTTTAACTTGGTGGTTCTCAAGCCTACTGCATATGAGAACCACATGGAGTTCTATTAAAAATCCTCATGCTCAAGTTGGATCCAGATTACTTAAAACAATTTAGAGGGGTGGCACTGAGGTCTTATTTTTTTTTTCTTTAGGAGAGATATTTTTCTATAGGGCATGTGTGCTTGCCAGTGAGACAGAGAGAGAGAGACAGAAAGAAATCACCCTCCAGAGAGATGCCCATGCCACAATCCCTTCTCCTCCATTCTCCTCTCAGGATCTTGGGCATGCATGCACACATGCCTGGTGTAAGTTTTAAGCCACTGGGTCCAGGACCAAAACCACAGACAATGTGAGAGTCCAGTGATGAAACCATTATGACATCACAGGAATTTTTAAAGCTCTTCAGACAATTCTACCATGCTGAGTTTGACAACTACAGTCATATTTTCTCTAATCCTCCCCTTCCTCATCTTCACATTCTTTATCTCATTTGAAGCACCCCCACCATCCTTGAAAGGTGGCCAGATGAGTTCTGGCTCCATTCCAATGTGACCTGGGCACTTGATTTCAGTTTCTCATTTTCAAAAAATGAAAATAATAACTCTCACATTGGACAGCTACTGTAAACATGAAAAGAAGTCATGCATATCAAAGCAGCCAGCACAGTTATGATGCAGGATAGGTACCCACTTAACTGTCTGTTTGCAATCCCTTCTTCAGAAGAAGACTCTATTCTAGGAATTATCTGGAAGATTTGCAATTGCAGCATCATCCTTTTCCCAACTAGGGAATTCATTTTCCTCCCAAGACACAAAATCATCATGAGGCCATTGATGGAAGTTCCTTCCTTTTGTAGAAATATTAGGTTATTGAAAAAATTATGATGCATTTTTGCTTAGAAAAATGTCGTGATTTTTCCAATCCAATACAATTTAGCAATATTAACCCAACCATAAAACTAGATGATGTGTTTTCTAAGGTGATAATCTATTCTTAAACTCTTCAAGGAGCATTTTATATTAAAAACTAGAATAATTAAACCTATTAACTGCATTTTTAAATATGCTGTAACTCCAAGGACTTTTCTTCAAGAAATAAGAATGCTGGGACCAGCAGTTAGCGTAATGGCTATGTCCAAAAAACCCCCCCCAAAAAAAAAAAAAAAAAAAAGAGATTGCTGAATTATCTGCACCTTCCATCTTCTCTTACTGAGCTGCTATCTGAGAAGCTAACCAGTGGGAACTGAGTTGATCTTGCCTGAACCAAACCACCACAAATCTAGTAGGGGAAAATGTAGACCTGATCAGAATTTCCAAGTCCCAGAGGAATATATGTCCACAGAGAACAAATAAACCACATAGTTTTCTTACCCTCCATCTAACCTGAAGCTGTTTGCTTTTACCTGTGGTTCTCATCCTTGAATGCACACCAGATCCACCTGGGGACCTTTAAAAAGTATTGATGCCTAAGCCTTATGCCCAAGAGTTTAATTAATTACTTTGGAGTGGAGCTCAAGCTTTGGTATGACTATAAAGCCCAATGATCCCACAGTGTACTAAAGTCGAGAACCACTGGCTTTTGGGCTAAGTTTCTTTTGAGAAGTTTAAGAAGAAGCTGCTTATACTTAAGTCTAGAGAAATGCTTGGGACAACATTTTCAGACCTGCTCCCTGTTTCTGGTGGCTAAAGGTTGCCAACCCTTGGCCATTTGCTATGATCTGTGACAGAAAAGTCCACAGATGTCTACTTTTGGGATATGATGGTGGCCATTTGCTATGATCTGTGACAGAAAAGTGGGATAGATGAGTGGAAAGATGAGAAAAGCATGGGTTTGAGGCCATGCAAAACCAGGCTAAGCTATTACTAACTGTGAGATGCTAAGGGAAATAATAATTTGTTCTAGCACTCAGAGGGTTTTTTTTTTTCTTTCTTTCTTCTTCCTTTTTTTTTTTTTTTTTCCATCTTAGTTTTAGCTATAGGATACATATGCTCACTTGGAGAGGAAAAGAGAGATCATTCCCAGGAGGGGATGGCCATACTGCAATCCTTTCTCTTCCATTCTCCTCTCAGGATTTTGGGCATGCATGCACATGTGTCTGGCATTATTTTCAAGCCATGGAGATGGGACTCAAATTACACATTTGGTCATGTGGGATCCAGCCACCTGTTGACCCTCTTTCTTCCTTTGTAAAATGGAAAAATGGTAACTGCCTAGCATCATTGTTGGGAGAACTTTAAAGAGGTTATAAATGAGAAAATGTATATATGGCACCTTGTATAGTGCTCAATATGCTGTAGGTATTTGATATATGATGATCATCATTACAAAGCACACAAAGATAAAAGGTCATCATGGGAGCCTTGTAATGGTGCCCTCCCTGGAGGATTGTCTATGGTATAGAAAAGTCTTAACTGGATTTTACCAGTGAAAGATCTTCCCATGCAATGAAGATATTAACTTAATGAACATATCTGGGAATATTTGGTAGAGAAAACACCATTTGGATTGATTAAAGGGTAATTATTTTCACAAAAATCACAAATATTCCATTCTGCTACTTCAAGGAACCACTCTGAAGAAACAAAGTAGCATTCTAAGCAAAGCAAGAACATGTAGTGTACCTTCTCATTTATTTATGCAATGTAAAAATATGAGGTCCATACAGTCACTTCAAACAGTGCCTTGTAAAGAGTATAAAGGAGTGTTGGAAATCTTAGCAGAAAGTGTGGCATAGACCACCAACCAGGATGGAAGGCATTTCAGTCCCTGAATTCTAATTTTGATGTAATTGGGTAAATGACACAGGCACTTCAGAGTCTTAAGACACTTCAGATCCATTATGCTGAGCAAAATTCTCTGAGTCACCTTCATTGGAAGCCATTCCTGAGCCATAGACTCTCTGGTGTTTTTGAAACTTTGTGCTTTATCTCATAGATAATTCAGTCTTACCTAGGAACTTCCTTAGAACAGGGACAGGATGTATACATACTTGTATCCCCACAGCTTAATCACAGTACTGATAACAGTTGGCATTGAGAAATATTTAATGAGTGAAAAAACGACTCTACTTCATACTCAGCGACCTGTATATTATAAATCTCCAATTTATTAAAAAATAAATGAATCACCTAGAAAATACACCAGTTGGCAAAGTTGACTAGGATCTATAGAACCTAATATTTCTCCCTTGCGTCAACAACATCTTGATACCTAGATTTGCTGTCCACATTTGCTTAAAAAGAATGTCAACAAGTCTCTTATCTCTCGAGTTTCAAGTCTGTTGTCTGAGCAAGACTTTGTTTTACACAGATGCTAAAATATCAGCCTTCTCCAAGTCTCATAATATGGGGAGGCCTTGAGAGCTGTACCTCTCTACCCTGATAAATAGGCTAGAGAGGCTAGGTAACTAAGTAATGCTGTAAAATCTAAAATTGGCTCTTTTCTTATTCAAACAACAACTATCGATCAAATGTCCTATGACCTTATGATTTAATGCAGAGAAAGGATATTAAAAAAAGAAGAAGAAATTCTTCCCTCAAGGAGATGTTCATTTTTAATGGTCTTTGTTTTCATTTTGTTTGCCCTAGCACATACAAAGTGTATGATTCGTGCCATTTCAATGGAGAAAAATAGTTTAGAGATTATGCAAGCTAAATTTTTCACTTGATTTTTCTCATCAACATGTTCATTTTTTCAAGTGTGCATATGAACATAGAAATGTAAGGCTAATTGGTAGACCTATGTTCTTTGTCCACCCTGACTGTAACCAATTTCAGAAGGAGCCTGTAAAAATAAATTTTTTTTTTCAGAGTTAGAGACCTCTGAAGCAGTAAATCAAGGGCTAACAAATAGGCCCCAATCTAGGTCACATTAAGTGACAACAGCCATTCCTAAAAATGAACTCATTTGAATGTTCAAATGAGAGCATTGCAGAGAAAACACTCAATTGAATCTTCACTTAAAAGATAACACAGGGTCTCTCCATACCCCAATTATGTGCTTGGAATTGGCATGTGGGGTATTGCTCTACTCCCCAGGAAGAATACAAATGCAAAAGAAAGCATGGACTAATTAGCATCAACCTTAATCTGCTGAAAAGGAATCTCACAGAAAACAGCACAGGTTTGCTTCCTGCCACCTGCTAACTTGGAGAAATCTGTGCCTCAGTTTCCTATTTGGTGAAATGGAGATAATAGTACTTTCCTAAGAGGATTGTTATGAGGATTAAATGAGATAACACATGTTAAGACTGCATTGTTCCTGATTGTTGTAGGTGTGTAATACATATGAAAGTATCTGCCGTTAAAAACCTGGATTAGGAAGATCTGAAGATATCATTGTGAAGTTAACAACTTACAATACATGTGTATTTTGATTTTGTAACAAAAACAAGCTTCCTAAAATGTCTTCAGACCTCAGAACTGGTCAGGTCTCTGCTGAAGAATCCTCTGGATAGACGTTTTATCCGTAGTCTCCTGAAACGGGACACACAACAATGTTATTGCAAACCAATTGGCTTCTAAACATATAAACTCTTCTACAGCACGCAGTGGAGTTTAGAAGCAGAGCTGCATCTACTGCCAAGACTACCTTGCATGCTAGCAGCTGCACACAGGGACAAGCATCAGCTATCTGCATCAATGAATGGACATGGTACTGTACCTTTCCATCTAAGGATCACTTCAGGAAAGTGCTGAGATGGAGGTGTTCTGAGGAACCTGCTCAGAGGTAAGGCACTGACTAGTCTCCATCATTAGCAGTCATGACTGGTAGTGGTGGTGAATCTCTGGGTCTCTTCCAGCAGCAAGAGCCAATATATCCCCAGCCATCATTGATGGCCCATCCAGAGAACTTGACTGGGTTCACAAATCCCATGGGGCAATAGGTAAAGCTGGCTCTAGCAAACAAAAGGCTGCCAGTGCTATTACTTTACCATACAAGAGCTGCTTTGCAATAGGTGTATAAGGAATCAAGTTGAGGTCTTCAGAACAGTTTTCTGGAGTTGAAGCTCCGGGATGACCACTTAGGTAATTTCAAAACCCACAAAATCAGTTCTATAATGAAGTGGCCTGTGGTGCCTTGAGACATGTTACTTGCAGAATTTTCTTCATACCTAAATCCTCAGATCCCAACACCTACCTCACCTATAGGTTAAGTGAGGGAAAACAATAAATTTCTAGGAAATAATATGTAAAATTGTGTCTACATGAATGAAATTAAAACTATCTTAGAAAACAGCCACAGGTGGGACCAGTGGTTAGCGTAATGGTTATGTCTCTGGACTCCCATGTAGTCGGCTGTGGTTCAAGTCCCAGATCTGGCGGCTTAAACTCACGTCAGGCATGTGTATGTGCATGCCCAAGATCCCGAGAGGAGATTGGAGGAGAAGGGATTGTGGTGTGGCCATCCCCCCTGGGGGATGATTTCTTGCTTTCTGTCTCTCTGTGTCTCTCTATCTGTCTGGCAAGTGCATGTGCCCTATAGCAAAACCCTCTCCCCCCACCAGAAAAAAAAAAAACAGTCATAAGTTTTTCACCCAGAAACTCTTTTACATAAAATATTTTAAGCATAAGAAATTACAAATACTCAATATGGTTTAATAAAATCTTAACTTTTTGCATATCTCGTTAAAATATGTTCAAGAAGATTAAATAACAAAGATATAATTACTGAGTATACCCCTTCATGATAGTTCCCTGTCTTCCTCCCCCACAAAATAAAGTGCTGGGAATGTATTGTTCTTGTGCATGTATGTACACAATGTATATTTTGCATTTGTAGTCATAAAATATCTTATATTTCTGAATGTTTTAAATTTTAATACAAATTATACTATATGGAATATATCATGCAATGGTTTTCTTTACTGGCTCAACATTATGTTAGGCATTGTTTGTAACAGTTAATCAATGCAACCATCAATAGAAGGACCATTAAGTAGTTTAAATATCTTGCCACATTTGTGAAATAGAATACTATACAGATGCTAAAATGGATAAAGTTTTTCAAAGAATCTGCTTTATATTTTGCATGGTATTTCTTTTGCAACATATTAGCAAAATGTGTTGATTTAAAAAAAAAAAAAGTGTGTCCCTTAAGAGCAGAATAGAGCTAAAGCTTGTATTTCTTATCTAATCATGTAAACTCTATGTTTTAAAAGTGAGTTTAAGCCACCAGCAATTATTGTTACTACTGATTTATTTTTGGACTTATTTCTACTATCTAACTTTCCATATTTACCATTCTTTATGCTTTGCTTCTTTGTCTTCCTTTCTGCCTTCTATTAAGCTGATACATTTAAAAAAAAATATTGCCAGAGGTCGTGTGTGTGTGTGTTTGTGTGTGTGTGTGAAAGAGAAAAATAGAATGAGAGAGAAAGTGAGAGAGAAAGAAAAAAAAAACAGAGACGGAGAAAGTACCCACAATGGGGCATGGTCATACCATAATCTTTTTTCCTCCATTTCTCTATCTCCTCAAGATTTGGAGCACACAAGCCTGCCATGCTTTCAAACTACCTGGACTAAATTACAAACTCAGTCGACCATATAGGATTCATTTCTCTTTACCACTGTGCTATATGGGGCTAGCTCCTTATTACACACACACACACACACACACACACACACACACAAATACACATATACATATTTTTTTCCTTAGGTTTTTGCCATAGGTTACATGCACTTGTTGGAAAGAGGGAAAGTGAGAAATTACTCCCCAGGTGGAATGGTCATGCCACATCCCCTTCTCCTCTACTCTCCTCTCAGATTTTGTCTGGTGTGATTTTCAAGCCACAAGGTCCAGGACTTGAACTGCGGTCAACCATGTGGGAGTCCAATGCCTTAACTGCCACACCACCTGCTAGCCCCAATCTTTGTATTTCTTAATGCTATATTGAAATATTCCTCTTTTCATCTATAGTTGCTCTTTCCTATTTAACATTGTTTGGACATTATTTCTACGTAAATTTGAGTCACTAGCTACTCTAATTTCAGTTACTAGTTACTCAAATTAATCCAAAAGTTTTATTTACTTGTGTGCTTCTCATTAATTCTTATGTTTCACACTTTTCTTTTGGGTCTCTTTTCTTTGTGTTGAAGTATGTCCTTTAATACTACTTTTAGTGAAAGTTTATGAGTGGTAAATTATATTATGGCATACCTGAAAATATTGTTACCTTGTCTTCACTCATAACTAATCATTTAGCTATTTTAACTATTATGTATTGCTCTATGTCTCCTCACATATGGAGGATTTGCTATCATTATCTTCTGGTCATCTATTCTTTTTTATTTTTTTTAAAGAATTCATTATTTAATTCCATTTATTATTATTATTTTTTTAATTTGACCAGACAAAGAGAGAGAGAGAGAAAAAGGGAAAGCAAGAGAGTGAGCTTCCAGGTCTGGGACTTCACCTGTGGTCGACCATGTGGGAATTCAAAGCCTTTATCCACCACACCACCTGCCGGCCCCTGATCATCTATTCGTGGCAAGGCAAATTTTACTGTCAGTTAACTGTCAGTTGATTACGTGTAGTTTCCCTGCATGTTACCATCTTCTTGTACCATTTAAGATTTTTTCACCCTCTATATAATGATGAAAGTTTGCTGATGTACACATTTTAAAAAATTTAGGTATGGCAACTGAGGTACATTTTCTATTTAACAATTTTAATTTTTCTTCATTCTTGGGAAACTATCACCCATGAATGGTCTTCAGAAAGAAGATAATTTTCCATTTCACAGTATTATAAAAAACTATACATGGATTTAACATGTTTGGTACCAAACTAAATTCATACTTTAAATTCATTTTCTATGTACTTTCTGAAATCTCCTTCAATTTGTTAAAATATTACTTTACAACTTCTCTAGAATTCTAGAATTCCTGAGGGATACATTTTATAGCCATTTATTTCCTATGCTCTTTCATTTTTAAAATGACTTATAATTCATAAAACATCACCCTTTTGAGGTATACAATTCAGTGTTTTCTAGCCTATTCATAAGGCTGTGCAACCATCACCATCTAATTCCAATACTTCTTCATCACTTATACAAGAAATCTCATACTCCTGAGAAGTCATTTCCCATTCTCCTCTCTCCCTATCTTCTAATAACCACTAATTTACTTTCTGTCTCTATGGATTAATCTATTCTGGATACTTTATATAAATGGAACAAGGCAACATATGGTCTTTTGTGTCTGGTGTCTTCTGCTGAGCAAAATGCTTTCAAGGTTTCTCCATGATGTACAACATCTTAATATTCTATTACTATGGTAAAATATTATTCCATTTTATGAATATACCATATTTATTTATAATTAACCAGTTGATAGATAAACAGGTTGCTTCCACATTTTGTCTAATGTGAATAACTCTGCAGTGAAATGGTGCAGGGTATCCACCTGCAGAAAGATGAAACTGAATCCCTGTCTTTCATCATTAACAAAAATAAACTCAAAATGGATCAAAGATCTGAAACACTGGGGAAACTCTTGGAGATATTGGGGTAGGCAAAGACTTCATAAATAAGAATCCCAAAGCATGGGCCATAATCCATAAAATAGACAAGTGGGACTATATCAGATTAAGAAGTTTCTACACAGCAAAGGACACAGTTATTAGTGTGAATTGACAACCCTCAGAATGTGAGAATATTTTTGTACAATATGCCTCAGACAAGAAACTGATAACTAGAATATACAGGGAACTAAAGTGGCTTACCTGAAAAAATATATATATAACCCAATTGAAAGATGAAAATATGAGCTGAACAAAATCTCTCTAAGGAAGACATATGAACAGCCAAAAACCATATGAGAAAATGTTCAACACCCCTCATCATAAGGAAGATGCAGATTAAAACCATAATGAGATATCACCTAACCCTTGTTAGAATGGCAAAGATTGAAAATACAAAAAGTGGGAGCTAGCAGGTGGTATGGTGGTTAGGGGCGCTGGACTCCCACACGGCCGACCGCAGTTCAAGTCCCATACCTGGAGTCTTACTTTCCCTTTCTTTCTCTTACTCTGTCCCTCGCTGGTCAAATTAAAAATAAATAAATACATAAATAAAGCTTAATAAAATAATTACTTAAAAAAATACAAAAGGTGAGGATGTGGTGAAAGGGGAACTCTCCTACACTGTTGGTGAGAATGTAAACTGGTTCAGCCACTGTGGAAAACAATATGGATGTTCCTCAAGTGTCTACAAATAGAACTACCATTTGATCCAGCAATCCCACTTCTTGGTATCTACCCAAAGGACAAGAGAATGTTCAGTTGGAAAAGCACTTGCACATCAATATTTATTGCAGCATTATTATGCACGATTACTAAGACGTGGAACCAACCCAAATGCCCACAAACAGATGAAAGGGTGGAAAAAGTGTAGCACATATACTTTATAGAATACTATTCAGTCATGAAAAACAAGACCCTGGCATTTGATAGAAAGTGGTCAAATATG